GATTACTGCCTTTGAAAAGTGAATAAACAATATCTTTTAATGGGATGAGCATTCTTGAAATGATTAAGTATGTATCAACTATCTGTAGAATGTTGAAAGTACACTTTGCAAGTTTGTAAGCTTGTTTTGAAGCAACTGTTAATTTTGGGTGCAAAGTATTCACATTTTCAGGATCCTTTCTTCCTTCTTTTCATACTATATTTCTTTTTAAAATATATATATGTTAAAATATACATTTGTTTAACAAACGGTAATTAAATGTATGCATTAAGCTAAAACCAATAATGTCCAATTTATAAAAAGCAATTGCACATATTTAACAAATCATTCCCTCCCCCAAGCTGTAATTGTTACTCTTCATTATGTGTAATTAGACATGATTTTGTATCTACAGCTATTGTGGATGATGCACGGCTTTCAGCGGAGGAAATGGATGAAAGGCGACGTCAGAATATCGCTTATGAGTACTTATGCCACCTAGAGGAAGCAAAAAGGTAATAATGACATTCCTTAAGTATATTAAAATCAACCTGTTGAGGCTTCTGTCTCAAAAATATAGCATGAATGACATGTTGGTGTGGTTTACTTATAGCACTAAACCAGCATTTTATTGTCCTGGTCCCAAGCCCCAGATGTGGTTTTGGGCAGCAAGCTCCTTCAGTCCCTGCCAGCACTGCCATTCATAGCATTAGGCTCACGTGCTCTGCCCACATGATACAACCTGAGTTTTATAAATCTCTATATAATGGGTGTGATTCATCTAAGGAATCCACCCTGTCAGTGGAAGTCCTGCGCAAAGGCTTCCACAACAAGGTTTCTTGCCTCTCCTCTCTCTGTGCCCCTGAAATTGGCTCTGTGGGGGTTGAGAGAACCCACAGAACAGCATACAGTGGGCGGGTGGGGGATCATTCCATCTGGCAAGCGTATCTGCTTGGACAGATGGAATGTTCAATGTAGTGCCATGTTGAATTCCACCCAGAGTCTCCAAATGAGTCCCTAAGGCAGTCCTCATTATTGGGGTTTTCATGGTAGCCATATGCAGAAACCGACGTTTCTTTCCACTACAATTGCAAGATATTTGTGGTAATGGCCCATTTAAACATCAACATGTATGTAAAGTTAGGATTATGTTTGCTTCAGTGTGCATAGTTCCCTACTCAAAATTTAATTTATTTACTTTCCATTCTGTTTTTGAAGAGGAACTCTTTCTCTACCCACTTTAAGTAGGGTTGCCATATTTCAAAGAGTAAAATTCTGGACAGAGTTGTTGTTTTTTTGGCAGAGTTGTTGAGCTTTTTTTTGGGGGGGGGGGGCAAAGTTATTGAGCTACTTTTATAGGAAAACAGCACTGCCGACATGGGCTGCCATATGTATGGATTTTCCCGAACAATTTCTGCCTGGATACTGCTGCTGACTGCAGTGCTTTCTTTTGAATATGAATAAAGGAACTTTGTATACATTTGTATAAGTTTCTCTAGCTCTTAGACCACTTCTGTTCAATAAAACTTATGAACGTGTTAAGTTCATTGTTCAGAAAAAAATCCTTCTAAAAGTGTAAACATTGAGATTCCTTTGTTTCTGAAATGTCATAAACTGTTATTTGCATGCTTGGGAAGAATTGTTAAACAAGATTGACAGTTACTCTCCGCAGTAGCCCTATAGCCGCCAATTACATTGCCTTAAGATGTAATAAAGACTTACATTATATTTGAAGCTCCTCTTACTTTTTTGGTCTGCTTCCTATTCCTAGTACGGACTCAATAAGCTGCATTTCTTCAAAAACTCAGTTCTAGTATTAGGACTACAGCATGGAGTAATTAGGAGAGTGTTATTGAGGACACTATCCAGTGAATGTCCATGAAACTCTTGCAGCAGCATCTCAATAGGCTAAAGCAGAGCTTCCCAAATTTGGGTCTCCAGCTGTTTTTGGACTACAGTTCTTATCGTCCTTGACCACTGGTCCTATTAGCTAGGGATTGCCGGGTGATAACGCCAAGGCCTGGTGCCTCCGCCGCCAACATAGCATCGCCCGGGATTCATCACTCTGGTCTCCCGTCACGCTGATGTGGCCCATATCCAGGGACATGACCACACGATTAGCAGAGTTCAAAACAGAAGCTCAGCCTTGAGGAGTAACATCTAAGCCTAATTTATTGCAAAATAAATCAAACGTAACAGAACAAAGAAAACATGGCTTCTCTCTGTGTGTCTTTCTTCCTCGGAGAGAGAACTGCAAAAGCAAAAGCTATACAGAGCGGAAACAGCGTATCTCAGTTTCCTCTCTCAAGACTCCAGTGCTGGAATGTAAACAGACATGTGACATGTAACAATCCCACACATCTGCAGCTCGGGAGGAATGGAATTCTCAACAGGGATGATGGGAGTTGAGTGGGACTTTGAATCCAGGACTGTTCTCTTATAAACAAGGTAAAAGGTAAAGGACCCCTGGATGGTTAAGTTCAGTCAAAGGCGACTATGGGGTGCGGAGCTCATCTCGCTTTTCAGGCTGCATTTCAGTCAGCGTTTGTCCACAGACAGCTTTCTGGGTCATGTGACCAGCAAGACTAAACTGCTACTGGAGCACGGAAGACTGTGACGAGGGCCAATGCGCACGGAAATGCCATTGACTTTCCTGCTGCAGTGGTATGCTTTTGAACTGCTAGGTTGGCAGAAGCTGGAACAGAGCAACAGGAGCTCAGCCCATAATAGAATCTTAATTGGCAGTGGTTGTCCAGACCTTTGTCCTAAGACAAGAGATTCTGTACCTAAAAGATTGCTTTATAAAAGCGTCTCCAACTTTCTTCTTAAACTAGTAAGAATATTCCAAAACATCACTAGATGGTTCATTCTAGCACTGAGCTGTTTTTAAATTGGGGAAAATTCTTCCTATTTTTACCTTTCACCTTTCACCTTTGACAGACAATTCTTCTAGGTCTCAGTTCTTCAGTTCTTTCCAGTGTTTTGACATGCTCCTTGAATTGTGGCTGCTAAACTGAATGCAGTATTCTACCTTTTCAGCAGGGAAGTACTGCTATTGATCGCCATGCTTGCATCCAGAAATTTGACTGTGCATTTCAAAGTGCCTCAGTTAATTAATAAGCCAACGTGGGTGTGTGTTTGTACTTTCAGCTGCTTTGTAAATTCCTGTTAACATTCTTCTTGTATCGTGGGTTTAATGAGAGAATTTTTCTGGGCTGAATTTGAAAGGGGAACTGTGGTGTTAATGATGGTGCTCCTGTAAACAGTGCTGTCTGTTACATTTTTACATTTACTAAAGAATAGGAAAGCAGTCTTTAAACATAGCAAGCCGACTTTAACCTTGTGGGGATAAAATTTGATCTTAAAACACAATTTATTCCATTTCATAGAGGCTGGAGCGAAACATCTGCTGAAGGTGTAATTCAAATCAGAAATGGCTCGGTGCTATACTGTTTCCTCATAATTTACTGGTTTTAAAGTCAGTTCTCAAAAAGGTCACTTGAATAATGTAAAGAAACCTTTAAAATTGCAGGGCAGAAAGTAATATTCTCAGGTGTTTTATAAAATGTCGGAAAAACCAACCACAAAACTGCAAAAGCACTATTGGCAGGCAAAAAATAATAATGAAATAAAGTAAAAGTCCAGGTGCTTGAAATGTGATTAATTCAATGCCCAAAGTGTTTCAGAACAGATCCATCCTCAGGGGCATATTTTTAGCAACCGTCCTATCCATGTGCATGTGCCACTGTTGAGACATGGGGCAGTAGTATTATCTTATTTCAAGCACCTAGAGTTTCCTTGTCTTTTCTTGTTTATCAAGTGGCTTTTTAGCAAGCAGTTTTTAAAGTTGCCAGGGTAGTTTTGCTTCTTTCCTCTCACTCTTTTTATTAATAGAAGTATGGAATAGAAGGGTATAGCTTTGAGATAAAGTGTTTTAAGTTTTAAATGTGCATATTCTAAGGATCAGTGCTACAGCATATCTCCCCCTCACACAACTCCTTCCCTGAATGCTGTTTATTATGGGTTGGCATAACCTCACTGTATTTAAATCAACAACCGTCTGCTCCCGTATTAAAATCTTTCTGCCTGAAGGTCTTCCTATCTGTACCATTGGCCTTGTTTGCACGTCACAGGTTTAAACCATAGGAAAGTTGAACACACAGCAGGCTGATGTATGCTGCTGAAATTGAGGGCACTTTGCTCCGCCTCCACTTCTGTTCCTGCCATGCTGCTGGGAGCTAAGTCAGGGCCTAGTTGAGTGTTATGTCTTATTTCCTCCAGACAAACTTTTGAGCAATAGGCCAAGAACAAATCTTGGTTGCATTTCAAGGTTTGATGGCGAGAAATAAAATGTGAGGCCGGATTTGAACATAATGCTAAACAAAACCATGGTTTAGTTTAGCTTAAGCAGTGCTTTTTTCTGGGGGGGGGGTGGATGCGGGGGACCCATAGCCCTAAACATTTTGTGAATCTCAATTTGGCCTCATTGAGGGGCAGTATTTCAATAAGAGCAGGAAAATGAGAGTACCCCTAAACTTTTTTTTAAGAAAAAAAGCACTGGCTTTATCTATGGTTTAAAGTGATGTGTGAACTAGCTAAGCCAATGTCTTGTGCTCACTTGCCTGATAACCAAAGAGTTGAGTGGTCTTGGTTGTAGTGCCAGTGAAATCTCTTGGACTTGGTGCCCCCTTTGTTGTCAGACCTGAAAATGTTTTTTTTTATTATTATTATTTCAACGGCTTTTAATACTTTAGTTTTTCTGTTTGTTGCTTTTACTGAACTGCTTTACATTTATTAATGGTTTGTTTCATAGCTTTAAATTATATTGTGTGTGCTTTCTGTAAGTTGCTATGCCTGCTCTGTGAGAAGAAGAATAGGGTACAGATATTAAGCAACACCCTGTGCAGTTCTTAGCAGAAATAATATTTTTGGAATAAGTTTGGCCTTTGTCTTTTCGTGTGTTTGGGTGTTTGTTCAGAGTTGAGTTCCATCTGCATGAAACATTAGATTTTGTTCCTCCTGGGGCTGTAGCTCAGTGGTACAGCTTCTGCTTTGCATGCTGAACGTCTCAGATTCAATCCCCTACATCTCTAGCAAGGACTGGGAGAGACTCCTTGCCTGAAATTCTGTAGTGCCACTCCCAGGCAGTGTAGACAATACTGAACTAGATGGACTAAGGGTCTGACTCAGTATAAGGCAGCTTCCTGTGTTCCTACTAAGGATTTGAAAGACAGTGCTTCTAAACAGAATGCATGCCGTTAGCTGCACTTGGATGCAGGGGTGAACGAAGGCGTGTGACACCCAGGGCGGAGCATCGCTACATAGCGTACATGTGCAGCGTCGCTACGTACGACATATGCGCTGTATGTAGTGACGCAGTACATGCACTGTACATAGCGGTTTCCTGCCGGCGCCGCTCCAACACCATACGGACGGTGCCGGGATCCTCTGCTTGTGGCTGCAGCCGTGAACGGAGGATCCTCTACATGTGGCTGCAGCAGTGACGGGGGGATCCCACTGCCGTCCATACGGCGCTCGAGCGGAATCGGCGGCAAACCGCTATGTACAGCGCATGTGCGGCGGCGTTACATACAGTGCATGTATTCGACGCTGCACATGCACTGTGTACAGTACATGCGTTCGACACTGCACATGTGCTGTACATAGTGGTTTGCCGCCGGCGCTGGCATCCTCTGCTCGTGGCTGCAGCCTCGAACAGAGGATCCTCCACATGAGGCTTCAGCGGCACGATGGTTGTTCGCACCACCACGGTGGGGCACCTTCTTGTCTCCCCCGCAGACATGGAACCAGGAGCGCACCACCCCCACCCCCCATTGTGACACCACTGTTTGGATGATGAGAGCATTTGCAATGTAAATAAATGTGTGATGTTTGTCTTTCTACAATGCTCTTCACTCTGTGTGTGTGTGTGTGTGTGTGTGTGTGTGTGTGTTTAAAAAAACCTCTTCAAAACTCATTGTTGAGTGGTTATTATTGAACAACTTGCAACAGCAAGTGTTACATCTGATTTTTCTCTCTCCTCACCAATCATTAAAACATGTGAAACATTCTTAAGTACAATCTTATCAGGAGTAAGATTTGACTGTGCCCACTTAAAACTAGTTGAAACTAGGAATGCTGATAAGGTAATTGTAATGTAGCCGTGCAGTTCAACATCTCAGGTTTTATTGCAGTCCTAGCATTGCAAATGCAAACAATTGAAAACATAAGAGGAACTCTGTTGAATCAGACCAAAGGTTCATCTACTCTAGCATCCTGTTTCTCAAAGTGCCCAACCAGATGCTTCCAGGAAGCCCACAAGCAGGGCTTGAAAGCAACTACAGTACTCTACCTTCTTTCACTGCTGCTCCCCCCTAGCTGTTGGGTTTCTGTAGTATTTCTGATTTCTGAACATGGGAGTGTCCCCAGAACCACCACGAAAAATAACCATCAATTGATCTATTCATCATATAGAGCCAAGTGTTGCATATAAAGTACATTTATATCCCAGCTTTTCTCCAAAAAGCTCAAGGTGGAGTGCAAACTTCTCCCTCTCTTCATTTTATCCTCATGACAACCGTGTGAAATAATGGGACTGCAAATTGTATGGACAGGGAAGGTTACTTTAGTTGCTGTAGAGTGAGGCTATTTTGAATGCTTCTTAGGCCTACTAGTTCGCACAAACAGCAGATGAGGTTGCATAACGGTTCCTTGGTCTTAATACTTTCAGACTGCAGGTGGTGAAATTGCACGGTTGCATACTTCCCCAGGAGGAAAATTTGCTGCCCAGACAAAAATTATAGAGCAGTGAGGAGAAGACTAGGCGAGCTTAGGAATGTGCAGAGTTGATTTACAGTACAGCAGCAAGAATTCTGACTACCAATTGTTTAGCAATAATGTCAGAAAGGGGCATTCCAAATTACGTTGGCCAGCTCCTGCCAACCTAGCAGACTAACTGTGAGATCCATTCGGAAACTGAAAACAAAATTTTGAGCTAGCCATAGAATTCCGTAATCCCAGCCCTGCCATTATTTTGTACCTGGCTCTTGATTACTAAGGTTCTAGTAAAGACAGCAGCAGCAAAGTAGATCCTGCAAGCCTGAAATACAGGCAACTCCTGGTCATTGCGCGCTTGAGTAAAATCACATATAATTGGAACACCTGTTGAAAAAGCCTGTAAATACCCTGTTCTGACCCTTTTTATGATGTTGTTGGGTCTGCGTTCCTCGCAATGTGTGGCTACGCACATACCGGACACATCTCAAATGGTCGCTGCCTGTATGCAAGTGCCTGGGCTAATCACAGTGCCAATTTTGCATGCATGAGAGGCAGCAGTCAACCTTTTTTCTAAAGCACACTGTGTTACATGACTGTATATTTGGGGTCGCAAGTGGTGCTGTGGTCTAAACTATTGAGCCTCTTGGGTTTGCTGATCGGAAGGTCGGCGGTTTGAATCCCCATGATGGAGTGAGCTCCCATTGCTCTGTCCCAGCTCCTGCCAACCTAGCAGTTTGAAAGCACGCCAGTGCAAGTAGGTACCACTGCGACAGGAAGGTAAAGGGCATTTCCGTGCACTCTGGTTTCCATCACGGTGTTCCGTTGTGCCAGAACAACCTGGAATGTTGTTTGTGGGAAAATGCCGGCTCCCTTGGCCTGAAAAGCAAGATGAAAGCCGCAACCCCATAGCTGCCTTTGACTGGACTTACCTTTACCTTTTTTTGAAGCAACATGAGGGGAAAATCACAGCTTTGACTAGATTGACTAGGGATTGGACTAGATGACTCTTGGGATCCCTTCCAATTCTATGATTCTATGAGTAGTTTTTGAAATGAAAAGTAACATCCGGAGGCTGTGCAAGGAGCAATAGGGTACTTGGGGATATGGGAATGGTAAGAGCAGGTGTTTTTCCACCAGTTGTATTTTCCACTTGAAATCACTACTCCCAATCTCTCCCTGGAACAGGGTTCTAGATGCATGTTTGCAAGAGTTCTATAGATTTCTACAAGCGGATAAAACAACCTTGGAGAAGTGACTTTGAGCCTTCACATGGTGCTGCAGATAGCCCTTGTAGCTTTGTAAAGGGAGAATTTCTAAAATTCTAAGGTGTGTTGTGCTCTTTGGTGGTTCTTATGGTCAAGACCAACCTAGAGCTATTACTGGAACAAAGAGGTGAACCTGAGCACTGCTGCTCTTCCTTCCACTGTGCGAAAAACGTTCTGTGCTGCTGCTGGCTCCACACTGTACTATGGTATATGTTGAGCTGTGGGGGAGGGGAAACACTTTTTATTTTATGTGTCTGTAAAGAGTCTTGGCTGTACAGAATAAGCTGCTTCATTTTTAGCACTTCTTCCCTATACACCCTCCACCCCATTCTGCTCTGTGTCCTTAGGCAGCAGACTTTGATCTGCTGCCGCTAAATAAATACATTTCTGTGTGTGATCTTTCGGTGACAGAGTCCTAATTTCAACATTTACTCCTGGTTCCTCAAGGTCAAAGTGCCATCACATGATTTATTAGTTACCAAAGGAATTCAGTGGGTAAGAGGTACAAATGGAGGGAAGAAACCACAGGAAGCTTACTGTGTAAAGTTGAATACTCGTTTTACTTTGAATACAAATAAACAGATGAACATGACTTAATTTCAAAATGCTTTCAAAATTGTACTTTGGAAATATTGCCGTGTAGCTTTTTGGATTTGGATTCAGAATGTGGATTAACTTCTTGTGGTCAGCAGGGAGCAATTTACTCAACTGTATGAACATCTTTCAATTCATTGAGTAGCTCACTTGTGAGCCTTTTGAATATTTTAATCTCCTTGCAAATTGTCCTGCCATGTTTTCCACAGTTCTTGGCTTGTTGTTGGATGTGCTGTGAATCAACAAATATTTGTATTTTAAACAAGAATCCTGGGTCTGTGCATTTGCTGAAATTCTTGCAAAATTTGTAAGCTTCTGGGGTAGAAAATTGCTTCTGCCTTGTGAGTTGATTGATATGACCCAGAATTCACATCCAGGCAGAACTTGAAGCACCAGGTGTGGGGAGTTGGTGGTACTCCAGAGAGGTTATTGAACAAGATTGGAAGCCCACAAGTTCCCCATTCCTGACTTAGTTAGAAACATACTGTCCTAATCAGAGTGGCATCAGTTTTGAAGTTCTCGCCTACTACTACAGTGCCCTGTTCTTTCTTCTTTCAAAGAGGCATTTCCTTCTTTCTCTCAACCCAAACACCTTTATTTTCTCTCTACCTCTTCACTGCCACCCCCACACCACATGAGCAATGCACAGATGTGTAGTCTTAAGAATTCAGAGAATCCCAGAATTCAGAGAATCCCAGCATTGTTAACGTAGGAACCTGGCCCTCTGGGAGAGCTGAAATTTAATGGCAGAAATAATAAAAGACTGGAAATGGGAGGCTAGTGCAAATGATCCAGAAATTCATTGTTCTTGAACTGTTGTCTCCAAGTCGACACAAGACTTAACAAGGGCTGATTCAAGGTTTTGTCTTGTTTTTTTTCATCTAAGGTTAACAATTTAAGAATAAGTATATTGTGAAGTAATTACAGCATGTCCACCAACTTGAGCCTGGCATCCGTAGTGTTCTTGAAATGATATGGGAAGCCTGTTGATTTATGCAGTTTATAATTGTCCAAAGTATGTTAATTGCTGGCGGCTAAAAGAAGCAAACTAGGTCATGAAATTACCAGTGTGGGCATCGGTACTCGCCAAGCTGCCTGCCCTTGTTCTGCCACTTTCAGACCATGCAAGAAAATTAAACTCATTGCTAATATAATAAAACTTGTACAGTTTTTGGACAGTTTCTCTGTGAGTTGGTTACCAGAGGAACACTTTTTCTTTCTTGATCTCTACTAGAGGTCATGAAGAAACTATGATAAAGAGTAGGCAGCAGTGGCGTAGCGTGGGTTGTCAGCACCCGGGGCAAGGCAAGTAATTTGCGCCCCCTAACCCGTGGATTTTAGCACTCGAGTGCGAGCGCGCCCCCCCAGATGTTGTGCCCGGTGCGGCTGGCCCCCCCTGCACCCCCCACGCTACGCCACTGGTAGGCAGAGTTCAAAGTACATGACTCTAATGAAGC